TTTCAAGACGATGTAACTCAAGAGGAATTAATTATATTGATTCAAAATTTTTGATGAACACTCGTAATAATGATATAAACAACATAAAAAACTTCCAGGATAGAGTTATTGTTTGTTACTTACCGTCAAAATGGGAAAGATCCATCACTTTTGTAATAAAATATGTTGTCAGACATCCATGTTTATAAACAGTCGCATGGCTACCATCGGAAAATATCGTGATGTTTAGATATATTCCGGGAAAATGTCATGATATTCCGTGATATTCCGTGATATTCCGGCATATTCCGTGATATTCCGTGATATTCCGCCATATTCCGTGATTCATTCCGGGTTTTCACAACGCCCCGTTGAAAGAGCCACTGTTGGTTGTTTCATGCTTGTCCAACTGATTGCACTACCCGACATCACAAATACGTTTCCGGACGTTGATCGTCGATCATCTCAGTCAGAAGCCCAATCTGCGTCAGAGTATCCCTCTACATTAGCATCGGTTTCTTGGTACTGCAGGCGTAGCTGAGCAGTTCCTTTCAAATACCGAAAAACGCGCTTGACCGCTGTTAGATGTGCCTCGGACGTCGGTGATGAGTTGAATTTAGCCAATGCTGCCACTGCGTAGGCTATGTCTGGACGAGTAGCTATCGCCGCGTATATCAAACTCCCTACCATTGACTGGTACTGAACGACATCTACTGGTTTCTATATCCATCGTCCTTAACTAGTTTTACGTTAAGATCCATTGGCGTTGACACCGTTTTGCAATTTTGCAATTTGTATTTTCGCATAATCTTACCGATGTACTTGTTCTTGACTGATTTGCAATACACCGTCCTTTATAGTAACACTAACTCCTAGACAGTAGTGGAGTACACCCATATCCTTCATCTTGAAGTGGTTTGCCAGACTGGTCTTGAGATCGATCATTTCTTCTTCAGTATCCGTTAAAAGTATCAGGTCATCAACATGAACAGTAACAATCGTCAGCTTATCCTTGAGGACACGAATGAATACACCTGGATCTGC